CAATCAGAGCCCATCGTGTATTTCTGAGGGAGGGGCTTCATAAAAGCAGGAAATTGATCACCGCGTTTCTCAGCGAAGGGACAGAGCGGTGTGGAATAAAGGCAAATTATGTGAAAAATAATGCATGTTTTATAAAAAACGAAGCATTAACACATGTTAGACTGCACCCCATAAACACAATCAAGCCTAGAAAAAAACCACTGAACCACCCCTTTAACTACTGAGTTAATATGTTGGTCAAACTTAAAGGAGGAATCAAAAAGAACTCCCAAATTTTTCACCGTTGGTTTGATAAAAGAATTTAAATGACCACAGTTCAAATTTGGTTTTCCTTTACCCACAGAGGGTCCAAAGACAATTGCAAATGAAACTAAATGCTCATTAAAAATAAATAAAGAAAAATAAATAAATACTGTATTATAATTATTATTATCAAGAATACCAATCTAAAACAAAATCATGGCTATCACAGCATGGTAACTTGTGAATGTGGGTCACTTGGGCCATGCAGCACACCTGTAACTGAAAACATTACAGGCTTCCCACATTATGATTTCATGACAGCAAAAGCACTGAGTGACTGAGTGGGTGAGAGATCTTCAGCCCCTAAATAAATCATTGTTTCTATGAGAAGAGCTAGTGCTCAGATTCGGTCACTGTGCGGACTTGGGGTCTCTGAGTAAATGCAGCCATTTCCTTCGCTGTGTCAGTCTGGTTTTAATAGCTGGGTGGCAGTGACAGCTGCAACAGGGCTGAGTGTGTGCAAATGCTGTGTGTGTGTTCACTGAGTGGGAAGTGTTGCCTGTCACTCGCCATTATCTCACACAGATGCCTCTCTCCCCGTGGAGGGTAGGCTGGCTGATTTGCTGATGCCTCCTGTGTGTCAGGGAGGAGAGGGAAGTGGACAAAACGAGACTTGCAACTTGCCTAAACATCTACAGCATAGACTATCAAAGAGCAGATTACTGTCAGCTTCAGCAACACGCAATGTCTCTTGCACATGTAAATGATAACCTTTAAGTCATTTCTCATTAAAACACAGATTTCTGTAAACACTAGAGATGTCACAATTCTCAATATAATATTGAACCGTTTGGTACGACAATTCACGCATTTGTGAATTGCTTTTTTTCGGTTTTGCATTTAAATAATTTCTGTGTGTTTTATATTATTTGCGCGGAGATGAGGAAACGACTTCCTGGAGCGTCATCAGTTCTATTACTTCTGTGATGTATATGTGGAGTCCTCCAGCATCCAGTATGAATTAAACAGACATTACATGTGTTTATAGCACTCAATAATGACAAATTCATCCCATTTTGAGTGAAAATAATACTCTCAAAAGAAATATGAAGTAGATATATGATAATCCATGTTTTTCTCCAGGGTACAGAAGTGTACAGGAGTTTTGTTGTTGTTGTTGTTGTTAATTTGTGTTAAAATAAAATGGCATTTTAAATCGCTAAAAATGGCATTTTACATCGCTAATCACAAAAACCCGCTGTGCTAAGCCATCAGAACTGAACCGGACCGAAAACCGTGGTTAAAAACCGAGGTATGTTTTGATCCATGGGCTAACTGTATTGTTGCATCCTTAGTAAACACATGCCTCTGAACTGACAAACACTGGCCTTTTCTGCAAAAAGCCAGTCTAGAGAGCATTGAGAGCTTATTCAGAGAGGACTAATGGAATACTGAGAGAGTATTCAGGAAGTATAGACAGCCAAAGTCAGGTTCCGACTCGAATACCATTCATTTTCTTCATAGAGAAATCGATTTCTTATGATAATGTACAAATCTTTCAAGCAGATCCATCATGAGCTCTGAGACTGATGGTATATGCTTCCGCAAAAGCCACAAGTAAGTGTGATTTTCAACAGTTGCCAAATTGAAGTAATACACTACCCATAATTCTGAAGAGATCTTCCTTGACCCACCAATCAGACAAGTTGCTGTTACCATAGAAACGAGAGTTAATCGAGTCTCCTTACTAGGGGTGTGCCAGTACGAGTATTGGTACCGAACGGTTCACTGGGCAAATTCCAAATGGAAGTGATCATCCCTATCCCCTTGGAGTGGGGACTTTGGAGTGAACAGGGCACGTGCGTGCTATTATGTAGTCGTTTGGAATGCACTTGGCAAAGGGAGCGACGTAATTTCCTCATTATCTTCAGCTGGCATGTTCCCGTGACAACGCAGCACGGTGTTTTACTGTCATAAATGTCTTTTTATTGTTGTTAGCATAACTGTTGCAAATAAACATACATTTTAAATTTTAAAAAGTTTTTAAAATATGCTATATAATATATAAAAACTAATATATATAAAACTTTTTAAAATATATAATGTATTTTTTTTTATTTTTTTTATGCCGGTGTCCATCAGCGAATCCGGCCCATTATAATTCGGCTATTATTATCAAATTGCCCAGATTTTTCATTCAGCACTGTATTTCACACAAATGAGGAGCCTGTAGCCGGTGAAGGAGTCTCCAACCACAAACACAGACACATATCGTCTGCTGATATAAGGTATTTCGTTGCACTTTAACAAGTAATCTGAACGGCCTATATATGTGCACTATTTTAACCGAGCCCTCACTAACTGAGTTTAATGCCACAGTTATGTTAGAACCATAGGTTAGAACGCATCTCATTCTTGTTTCTGTGGTGGTGCGTCGGGCTCATCATGGGACGCGCGGTCCTGAGCGCTGTATGACTGATGTATCCGTGCAATTTAACTTTACTCCAAATATATGAACTTACCTGTTTTAAATACTTTTATATTTAAACAACTGGATCCGACTAAGTTTGAAAGGTTTTTGAAATTGGATGTTTATTAAACATTCAAAGACTTGTTTAAATTATATAAATGCGTATTTGCTGAATGCTGACAGCAAACAAGAAAGTATTATAATGTTTGCCTTTCTATTACTAATAATATAAAAGCAGTCGTTATAAGACATTTTGTATACATTTTAATTCCTTTGTTTAACCGTTCTATCTGATTATTAGACAGACTTCTATCCGTATTTAGACAGAACTGTTAACGACAACAGCGAACAAGAGGGAGAATGTGAGCACTGTGTGCCCAGGCGCTGCCGTTCTCAGCGCCATAAAAATAAAAGTCAGTCGCGCCGTCAAAATAAAAGTCCCGCCTCAACCGCAACGGCCAAACAGGAAAACTTATCGGCCGATGCCGATATTTAAAAAATATCAAATATCGGCCAATATATTGGCGATATATCGGTCGACCACTATTCCAGACGACTACATAATAGCACGCACGTGCCCTGCTCACTACAAAGTCCCCACTCCAAGGGGATAGGGATGATTACTTCCATTTGGAATTTGCCCCGTGAACCGTTCGGTACCGATACTCGTACCATTACACCCCTACTCCTTACACTATCAATCTTATCTGTGTGTATATATTAATGTTAGCTGCTAAAAATTCAGCCATCACATGAGTAAATTACATTTTATGAACAACATAAATTACATTTATTTTTGATCAAATAAATGCAGCCTTGGTGATCATAAGAGACTTCTTTGAAAAACATTTTAATGAACCCAAACTTTTCAACAGTAGTGTACATCAACTATTTTAAATTGTACAGTCATTTTATTATAATTGTAGTTCAGTCCCTTAAAAAAAGTATACAGGTATACTCAGAGATGGTTGGTTTAGTTCAAGGCTTAGAATGATTAAAAAAATCATTTTAATCACCATTAATTAAAATGAATGGAGAAAAATACTTTCAGAACTAGAGTTTTGAGAGCATATTGAGAGGAAGCATTCCGAGAGTACCGAGAGGTCATTCAGATAATAATCATAGAGTATAGTGACACTTACAGTGTGTGACACCAGCCAGGGTTTGATAGAAAGTGGGTGTGTCGCTGTCGTCGGTCAACGTGACGCACACACCACCTGACAGCAGCCAGCGGGAGAACGTGAAAGCATCTTTATTCTGCAGAAGCCAGCTCTTAAACGTATCGTAATTCACCTTCTCTCCCTGAACACAAACAGACAGAAACACTGTAAATAAACAACAAGGTTACAATTCTCTAATGAACTTGTGACCAACTTAAAGAGCACGACAAAAGAGTGCAGAATTGAGAAGTTGAGAAGTGCTAGTTGCTTCCTTTTGTTCAGTGTAGGGGAAGCTTTCTCATTATTAATATGAACTAAATTCTATTGTATGCAGATATATTTATGTGAGTGGGTTGAGTAAAGAGATAAGAAAAAGTTTTAGAGCTGCTGCCAAGGGATAGCCAACAAAAGTGCTGCACTGAGTGGCTTTTCCCTAAATCAAGAAAGTGATGCTGCAGGAGGAAGAATGAAGGCTGAGATGAGAGTGCAATTTACAGAAGAGCTAATAGAGAAATGGGAGAGAATGCATGTTAAAGCATATTACGTAACCTTATTGGCTGCAACATTTGCACTGTCAACCTTTTAAGCTTATTATTAGAGCAGGGCTATAACACAGAGGAAGCTCTCTCTGTAAACACAAGTTTAAATAGGGCAAACGGTTCAAAAGGTACTGTATATATAGATTTTGGCAATCAATGAAGAAAGTGTCACAGGTCTGACAGATTGGATTAAAAAGGCATGTAATCCATTTATGAGGCAGCAAATACTTCAGTCCTGCAGCAAAATGCTACACTTTCTCCAAACCTCTTGCAAACCTAGCATTTCCATTGATTTGAAAACCGAAAACCGAAAGACCACATAACTGACTGTAGCTATGTTTCAATCCAAGTAGTTTAATTTATGTAATTTAATTTGTGAAATATCAGATTGTGACATATTGGAAATAGGGAGGTTAAATAGGCAGATTAATTTCCTGTCTTTTGAACACTATGTGGCTGGATGGCATGATTCATCTGGAAAGTCATGAGGCTGGTGAGACTGAGGTAAATCACACAGGTTAGTTTTCCTGCACTGACCTCTGTGAAGCACTTCCTAAGTGAGGGCGGGACCTCCCCATCCACTGAACGGAGCATGTTCTCCACATCCTCCCGGACCACATAGGTCCCCGAATCACTAGCGAACAAGCTAAAGATGTCTGGGGATAGAGAGGACATGCTGGTCAATACACACATACCTTATCAGAGTCTAGCAGGCAATGTGTCTCGCAGCCTCACATCAATCACAGCTGTCAGGGACACAGTGAGACACACTAGAGTAGACAGTACATCTATGGGGAATATCAAGTGAAGTGGAGTGTGCATGCGGCTACCAGTTTCATTAAAGAAACACAGAGCAAAACAAAGCTAAATAACATTTGGATAATTGAATATGCTGAGCCAGAGGTGTGCTTGTTTAGATTGCTGTTTGAAATGGAATTAGTTGAGCGCCTCTTGTGACTTGCAAAATAAACAAAATACACACGTACATTTGTAAGGCTGAATAAGATGTGTTATTTTAAATTCTGAGAATAAAGCAACTAAACAGAGTAATTAATCTATAATGCATCATGCACAGAATTTATAAAACAAAGATGTAGAACATTTGATTACAATGACAAGAATTGAAATAATGTGCGAGATCAATGTAAAGAGTATAATAGGCAGAATATGGGAGTGGATAGTCATGTGCCCTTCTGTAAACCTACATTTGGCTTTCTCTTCATCACGTCCTCTTGTTAACAGAACCAGCCCAACGATCAGGTAGTTGAAGTGCAGCCCTTTGGAAGTGCCACCAAAAGAGTTGTAGATCACCTACAACAGATGAGAAAGGGAGAAAGGATGCACATTAAATGTGGCCTGTTAAAATGCACATAACTCAGCATTTAATTCTGTTAAAAAAAACATTGTCTTCAGGTACGTTCACACCTTTTAATAAGAGTTTTGCAGCTGTATGAGTGGCACTGAGCTAGATTTTGCTACTGAACTCAACTTTATGCGAAATGAGCAGCGATGCAGCAAATACCAATGGGAGTGAAGATAGTTCTCCACTACTTGATGCAAGTAGGATTCTACTGTAGAAACCAACAGCTCAGATATTTGGTGACTTCCAATGATTTAGTGCATTGTCAGTGTGAATGCCCCTTTTTAAAGAACACAGGAAATAATGCAAAAGTACATTGAATTGCACGTAATGATTATGCAAATGTCATACAATGAGATCTACACAGATTACACAGATGACAATAACAAACTTAGTTGAGTTTATAAATAATAATAATAATAATAATAAAAGAATTTAAAAAAATAATTATCAATAAGCATAGCAAAACAGGTTGGAAAAAAATATTTACAGGACAAAGTCATGCAACCAAAATGCAACAGAAAACGTGTATCTTTTGAATTTCACCATAGTTACACAATGAAGAAGGTCATTACTTCCCATCAGTATGCTATTACTTAATCTACTGGTGTTCAGCGCTTAAGCCTGGCGTTAGTCGTTATCTCAGACCTTTGATTTCCGCTGAGATTCAGAGAAACATTTTTTTATGAAGACTTTTAATGATAATACTCCCTAGATACATATCTCCCGATAAATCAGCTGACAATGTTTAGTTTAATACAGAGGAAACATTACATTGTCTCTACCCACAATGCAGGGCTACATATAATGTGTTGCAGTATAAAAAATATCTCTGCAAAATGTGGCCCAGCAGGAGGCTTACCAGTAAAATACTTTTCTTCCTGTTTTTGATCATTTCTATTCCACAGAGACATCTCACGCAGACATAATTCACTTTTATGCCTGGTATGACACCATGTCTTACCCTTAACGCCACATATAACAAAAATTTTCACGCCACCAGATGCCTACTGCACAGCCTAGCGCTCAGCGGCATACAACAAGACAAACTTTTTTCCCCTTAGCTACTTGTCAAGGAACTTCTGACAATGAAACATTTACACATTTTGTGGATTAAAACAAACAAGTAAATACAAATAAATAAATTCAGCAAATATTTATTTACTTAAAGGTGCAGTCAGTAGGAGATCTAAAGCGAACGTCCCACCCACCCTGCAATCGCCGCTCAAAGCCACGCCCCCTGAACGCATATACGCTCACAGACCAAGAGGTCCTCTCGAATACCAGAGACATCATTACTACAATAGGCTACATCAGCGGTTCCCAATTCCAGTCCTCGCTCGATTTATTTACAGAGGTATATTATGTCACATTTCACACTTCTCTAGTAAGTTTCATCTGTGTGTGAAGATGCTGCGCAGCGCAAATATGAACACTGCAGGGATCATATCAATCGGAACACAGTTCATGCACGTAGCTCACTTCTAATGGTTCGTTTCCACTACAGCATCAAATCTGCGCTCAGTGCCGCTGGCAATGCTACAACGCCACTGCTTTGGAGTGTGTCAAATTTAGGGCAGAGCACGCCTCTGAAAAACACCCTGTTTACGTTTAATCTCCTTCCTTTCACAGCGATTGGTTGTCGTCCGCCGTTTTTTGCTCGACATTCTCCGCGCCACTTTCACAACGAGCTGGTTATCTGAATCAGGTGTGTTAACGGAGACATGCAAAATATGCGGCTGCGGCAGCGGGCGGGTGTGTGGGCATGATGTAGCCCAGCAGAATTGGGAACTGCTGGGCTACATCATGTGTCATTCACCGGTGAGAAAACTTTATAGTACAGTTAGTAAAAGTACTACAATACCAGGAAGGAAGATCGGGTTGTTGATGTTTGTCTGCCATTCTCGCTCTGTCTGCACAGCATGCGTGAACACGATGATGACGTATCCTGTCTGCGTGAACCAGGTGCGCAGAGGTATGCTAATACATACGTCAACAGACAGGTAGGAAAGCTAATTAATATGCTCGGACCAAGCGTTTTGATTGGACGAACATTTCTTGGTCCTACGCCTTCCACAGAATATATAAATACAGATAAATACATTTAGACCACTTAACTTAAAGGTGGGGCAAGCGATTTTTCAAAAACGCTTTAAAAAACTGATTTGGGCCGACTAGCAAAACAAACTTGTAGCCAATCAGCGGTAAGGGTCGTGTCTACTCATGATGTGGAGGAGAGAGCGTTCAGTGCTCACATTAGCGAGCAGAGTGACAGAAAGATACAGATGGCGGATAAAAAAACAAAAGAGGAAAACGTCTGCGGAACAAAAGAAGGCTTAAGGCAATAAGGCAAGAAGTAGGACCTGTGTAACTATCAGATCAGCTATCCAGCGCTGGAGAGAACTCAAGGAGCGGAAGGCCTGCGATCGGACGCAGAGGTTGCTTTGTTTCTTCTCGATAGGTGAGTAACACCGTGTCTGCGCAGCAACAGCTAAAGTCTGTCTAGTACACTGGACGCAACAAAGCGACCGTTGAAAATCATTTGAAATTTGTGTCAATACGTCATGAATAGAACGCAGCAGCAGTATTCTGTCGGGGATTTGTCGTGTCGTGCCGCA